ATATAGCCTTAACTTTGAGATCGGGTTTATGCCTTTAGTAAGGTCTTACAAGTTTTACATGCCTTTGAGGTCTTACAGTTTGGATACTTGGTACAAGTATGGTTCATGCCTTGCTTGAGGTCTTACAGATATTGTCACTTGGTACAAGTGTGGTTCATGCCTTGCTTGAGGTCTTACGAGACCGAGTCTGCCCGCTCGGGGTCTTATGGCCTCGGGTTTTTGATTGGTAGCGATTGGCGACAGTCCCCGAGTTATCGAGGATTTTTTGGCTCGGGAGCCATTGCGATGGAGATGGCGATTTTGATAGCAATCCCTGAGTTATCGAGGATTTCTCGGCTCGGGAGCCATTGCGATGGAGATGGCGATTTGACGGCAGTCCCCGAGTTATCGAGGATTTCTTGGCTCGGGAGCCATTGCAATGGAGATGGCGATTTGACGGCAGTCCCCGAGTTATCGAGGATTTCTCGGCTCGGGAGCCATTGCTTGAAAACTTGGTATTGCCTCGTTTAAGGGCTTACCATTCCGGAGTCTCCAACCCGGGGGTCGTGTGGTTTTGAGTTTTTGACGCCAGTTACCGAGTGCTCGGGACATTTTTGGCTCTGGAGGTGTTTTGTGATCTCAGCGTTGCCTCATTGAGGGCTTATGAGTTAGGAGCTCCGATCCGGAGGTCGCATTGTTTTGAGTTGTCGACGCCAGTCCCCTAGTGTTCGGGACGTTTTCGTTGGCGGAGTCGTTTTTGCGAAAATGCTGAGTTTCTTTTGGAGTGTGAGATGCTCTGATAATAGGTATTCTTTGATTACTCGGTACAAGTATACATGTTTTTGCCGTTGGGGGTCCGGCTATACGGACACGGTTCGTTCGACCGTTTGGCCCGGTACATTATTTTCCTATTGGGACCGCATTTGGCGTTTCTTGGCTTTTTTGAGTGGATGGCCTCCCGGGGGATGCCCCCCAGTGTTGGAGGTTGATTGCAAAAGAAGCCTTGGATACTTATTGAGTCTTCCTTAGGTAGCATGTGGATGTTGCTTCGTTAAAAACCTTGCCGATAAAACCCTTTTTGGGATGAAAACCCGGTCGAAGGAAAAGAGTGCAACGCACGCTTTTGAACCTAAGGCCTTCGAGTTGGAGAGTGCTTTGGCCGTTTTGATCGAATACCTGCACTCAGATCAGCGTAGAATGTGATTGAAAGAGAAAGGAGACAGTCATACCTTAGTGTAGAATGTGCCGTCGATGTTTCGATCGTTTGTCACAAGGATGCGGTACAGTCCTTTTCTTCGTTTGGTTCGGACTTAGCCGAGGGCGTAGCTTGCTATCGCTATTTTACTGTTTGATAATCCTTTGGCTCCTTCGAGGGCGGAGGTACCGGCGTAGGGGCCACATCGTGCACCGCAAACATTTCTCTTGCCGCATGTTGTTCCCCGTAGACGGTTTTAATCCCATCCTTTGTCGGGAATTTCATCATTTGATGGAGGGTGGATGGCACTGCTCTCATGCAGTGTATCCACGGCCTTCCGAGCAAGGCGTTATACCTCATGTCTCCCTCGATGACATGGAACTTAGCGTTTTGGGTTGTGCCGGCACGTTGACTAGGAGGGTGATTTCCCCTTTTATTGTTTCGCTCGCCATGTTGAATCCGTTGAGGACTCGAGAGGCGGGTACGATTTGGTCAAGCAGTCCGATCTGCTCTACCACCCTCGACCTGATAATGTTGGTTGACCTACCTGGATCCACGAGTACACGTTTTATTTGAAATGTATTTACGAAGAAAGAGATTACCAGTGCGTCATTGTGAGGTTGAGACAAGGTCTCAGTGTTTTCTTCGCTGAATGTGAGGGCGTCTTCGGGTATGTACCCCCGGATTCGCTTTTCTCGGGTGATGGATATTTTTGTCTTTCTCATCATGGGTTCCTGTGGAGTATCGATGCCTCCCAAGATCATGTGGATAACATGCTGTGGCTCATTCGTTTCGTTCTTCTTGGCTGCCTCTCTTTCCCGGAACTGATTTTTGGCCCGGTCACTTAGGAATTCTCGGAGATGACCTTTGTTGAGTAACCTGGCTACTTCTTCTCGAAGCTGGTGGCAATCCTCGGTCATGTGGCCATGTGTGTTGTGAAACTCACACATTAAGTTATGATTCCTTTGCGAAGGATCCGATTGCACAGGCCTGGGCCACTTGGCATCTCTGATTTTGCTGATGGCGAAAACGATGTCCGATATATCGACATTGAAGTTGTATTCTAACAAGCGAGGTGCCTCCGCTGGCCCCGCGTTCCTATCGAACCTGGCTCTGTTGATGAGTCCCCGAGGATTCTGTCCTCGGTCCACCCTTCAATCGTTTCGAGGTGGGTTGCGCCTTGGGGCATTTCTCTGGTCTTCGATGCATGGCTGATATCTTTCTTTGTTTGGCTTTGGCTCCTTTGTCAGGAGCCTGCTTGGGTATACCGAGCTCGAGGGGGCCCCCAGCTGGTCGTCCTCGACCCTGATTTTCGACTGGTATCGATTATGCACATCCGACCAAGTCACGGTCGGGTACTCGACTAGGTTCTGCTTTAGCTGTTTCGAAGCCACCGAGCTTCGTTCGTTTAGACCTTGAGTAAAGGCCAGTATTGCCCAGTCATCGGAGACCGGCGGTAGTTCCATTCGTTCCATCTGAAAGCGAGATACGAACTCTCGCAACATTTCATTATCCCGCTGCTTGATCTTGAAGACGTCGGATTTCCTTGTTGCTACTTTGATGGCACCAGCATGTGCCTTAATGAAGGAATCTGCCAACATGGCAAATGAGTCTATAGAGTTTGGGGCCTGGTTATGATACCACATCGTTTCCCCTTTGGAGAGTGTTTCCCCGAACTTTTTCAGCAGGGCGGACTCGATCTCGTCGTCCCTTAGGTCGTTACCCTTTACTGCACAAGTGTAGGCGATGTCGTGCTCGTTGGGGTCCGACGTTCCGTATACTTGGGAGGTCGGGCATTCTGAACTTCTTTGGAATGGGTTTTGGGGCCGCTTCCTGTGGATACGGCTTCTGTACGAACTTCTTTGAGTCCACACCTTTCAAGATCGGGGGCGCTCCTGGAATTGGGTCGACCCTGGAGTTGTAAGTCTCGACCTTCTTATCGTTGGCTTCTATCATTTTCTCGCCCGATTCGATCCTTCTGGTGAGGTCCTCGAGCATCTTTACGATGACGGGATCGGCCATCGACCCGTTATTGCTCGATCTCTCCGGTACCTGTTCAGCCGGGGGAGCTGTCCCCGGTGCTACTGTGCTAGGAGTTTTCTGGTGGCTTTGCAGCTGAGCAATAACCAGCTGTTGTGCCTGCAACATTTTAAAAATAACATGAAGGCTAACCTCCAGTTCTTCCCGAGCTGGGGTTTTCTGGGCTTCTTGTTGGTCGCCTTGTTGTATGCTCCTGTTAGTGTGGGAGCTTATTTCGACGTGTTGAGCGTCGCGCAAGACTTCGTCCACCAGAATTGGTCCTGGTGTGTTCTCAAGGTTTCGTGGTGGCTCACCAACACCTGGAACAACCACACCATTCTCTCCGTGGTTCTCAAGGTTATTGTTTACTGAATCAAACGTTCCGACCTGAAATCAAAGATCTTTGGACAAGAAAAAGCGTGAAAGATAACTTGTGTTATGTAATGGAACCAGAAAGAAAATAATCACTATTATTTTTAGCCCCACTGTGGGCGCCAAACTCTTTTCCGTGAAAATGGTAATAACAATTAAATTTGATTATGGGACTCTAAAAATACGTGATCTATTTTTATGCCGGTTGTTTAGCAGTTGATGCTATGTGTGAGACGTAGAAATAAAATAAGAGTTAGGAGTGGGATGATAACCAAACCGATAGGTTGAAAATCGAGGCCTCGAGCTTGTCGATTCGGGGGCCTCGAGGTCGATTCCGGGGCTCGACTGCGAGCTATCGAAGGTGATCGAGTATGACTAACAGTTACGATAAAATCTAAGAAGGCTCTTTATGGCCAATGATAAGCAATAAATGATGAACAATAATGAAGATAATAAATGGAAGCAATAATATCAAGAGAATATGTTAGAAAGCAGAGAGAATGTTCTTGTATATTTCGTGTGGAGCAGCTGAAGCAACAGATCCCTTACAAAATGACAAGGACTCCCTTTATATATGAGGGAAATCCCAACATAGGACAAAATACATTAATTACATAGATATGGGGATGTGACAGCTGAATGACGCCCTGATATGGGTTCAGAACAACCCACTAGACTTTGTCAGTCCTAGTCACGTGTCTTGGGAACTCCCCGTTTCTACCATAGCCGGGGTCAACATTGTCCCAAGGTCGAGCGTCGACGAACCTCGAGGGAGGAGACTCGACCATAGCCTAGTAGCCTCGAACCTTCGAGATGATCTTCTGAGGTGCCTCGATGACGGGGAATTGGACCCTTCGATTTCACCTACGTTAGAGGTCGTACCGACCCAACGCGTAAGAGCCCAAGCGCCAGCCTATATTAAAGGTCGTACCGACCCAACGCGTAAGAGCCTAAGCGCCATCCTATGTTAGAGGTCGTACCGACCCAACGTGTAAGAGCCTAAAGGCCAGCCTATATGAGCCTCAGGGCCGATGAGACGTCCAAAGACCGAATGCGTAAGAGCTCAAAGGCCTGCTCAAGTAGCCTCAGGGCCGATACTTCAGACCTAAAGGTCAATGAACTCGAGTTGAAAAGTGACTCGGGGACTAAGCCCCAAACGATCAACTTTCGACCATTACAAATCGCTCAACGGTAGCACGAACCTAAGGGTTTAAATTTGAGGTCCAAAATTCCAGACCAATTGTCAACAAGCATCACAGTTTATTACTAAAAAGCAGAGGAAAAAAAAAAGAAACGATGAAAAATGAAAGGCCTCCTACATATATGTTGAAAGGTTCACAAGGGCACATTTACAAGGCCTATATCTAAAGCCCTTACAAGGGCAGAGAGCAAATAAAACCCTAATCTACCACCAGGGCTATGCCTTCAACGGCCCCCTCAAAAGTTGTGCTTTCGACAGCACCGGCCTCGATCCCCGGGTTTTCAATAGCCTCTTCCCCTTCGGGGATTCCGCCTCCATGTTCATCATCCCTCGAACCACTGCTCGACTCGCCTTCAGAAGAAAGCAGGGCCGCAGCCTCCTCCTCTAGGGTCTTCACCCTCTCGATCTTGGTGGATAAATCGACGCCCCCCGTATATATGTCCTCGAGAGCCTACCTCCGAGATTCTAACCGGGCATGCTTCACGGCTCGGGTCAATTGCAGCTCGGCCTCCTCGAACACCTTCCTTGCCTTAGCATTTGCAGTAGCAGCATCCTCTTTGTACGAGGATACGAATGCCTCGGCTTCAGCCCTAACCTCAGAAAGCGCAGCAACCAACTTAGTGTGAAGATCCTTACACTTATTACTCTCCGCCCTCGCATCATCAAGTTGATGTCCGACTGAGACCACCTCCCCCCGGAGGGTATCTCTCTCAGGGACTATCTCACTCACGTACCGTTTGAGTTCGAGAATTTTAGAGTCCCTGGCTCGAAGTTCCTCCCTCATTAGGACATCTTTCTTCTCAAGCTGTAAAGATCGACCCGAAGGTGTTAAACCACTAAATCCAGATGAGCATGTGGACAAAAAACAAACATGAACTACATAACCTGCTCGGTAAGATGAGTCCTCTCTCGGGATTCCGCCTCCAAACAATCCCGAAGCCCACGGAGTTCCTCCTCCCTCTTGATAGAAAGAGCTCTAAGCTCGTCGGCTTCCGAGGTGAGCTTCATGCGTTCACCCTCGTAACGAGTCAGCTCGGTTTGAAACCTGGGAAAGGTCTGATTATAAAGCACATTGGCCTGGAACCTTGAAAGAAACAAAAGTTAGCAAGATGAAGATCGGGGCACCAATCAGAATTTACGAAAAAAAAATTACCTGCTCACAGAGCCGTCGATCTCGCCGAAAATAAGCGAGGCGTCAAGCTCAGGATTTTCCTCAAGCGCAGCAAAAAGCTTTTTAAACATATTTTTATCTCCGACGCGCGCCCCCACATCGAAAGACTCTTTATTTTGGGATCCTGTATCTCCCTCGGAGGAAAAGTTGATCCCAGAGGGGAATCGCTCACTTCAATAACCCCAACTGGATCAATCGGGGCCGTCTCTTGCATCTGGAAAGCTTCAGAACTAGGCTCCCCCGGATCGCCTACCGAATGCGCCTCAAACTCGTGGAATATTTTGACCGCGACCAAATGCCTTCTCTGAATCTTGTTTTATCCGCAGCTATCTTCCACCGCGGTTCTGCTGCGGTCGCGGTGGAACCGCGGTCAAACCAGTTTTCTAAATCTTCAGGCCTGTTTTGCGTGGTTTACTTGGGGAATTTCACAGTTGGCCTCTTTTTCTTCATTATTGACTCCAAAAATACTCCCTAGCCTTCCCTGATCATATATCACCTGCAAATCATGAAAATCACTAATAAGAGCATTTTGTTATCACTTTTATCATCAAAACTATACAAGAAGGTGATTATTTAAGGCGTGATTATAGTTAAATTCACATATTATCAGTAAGCTAAAGTATAGTAAAGCAACAAGGTTTTATGACAGGAGTAAGGATAAGAAAGGGCGAGTGAGAAGGTGACGAGAAATGTATAAACCCTCATGATTAAGCCCATGAAAACAAGAGAGCTAATGGTTTCTCTAAGTAATAGAAATCTCAGTTTAGCCTGAATGAACTCAAGGGAGCCTAAGACTAGTAGCATTTTGAAGAAATAGAATGCTGGCTTGGTAGTGGAATGAGGGTGTGATTATGATAGATAAAGGATTAAAATACCCATGTAAGGTGAGTCATATTAGGATGCTATAAAATACGGTTATGGAAGTATAGTATCGACCGTAGGTGGATCAATCTAATTACTCTAGATGTCCCCGATGAGACGTGAACCCTAGCGGTAGTGTTACATAAGAGATCAAGTTATCAGTGGTAGATGATAGATCAACATTAAGGTGAATCAACAATGGATGGACAAAAGTCACAAAGTATGAGGTAAGATTAGGCCGTCATTCTTAAGATGAACAGTAATGAAGAAGCATTAAAGGACATAGATTTATACATATGGGATAAGCAACGAACGTAACATAGAGTTTGGTAGCAGACCTCAATAACGTTAAAACGAGGTGAGAGTTATGGTATATTATGACCTACTTAGATGCAGTAAAGTCATGCGAATAGATACCCGAGCCTACAAAATAAGATATAGAAATGTTCGTAAGTTCGACAAAGTACCAAGCGAAAAACTTCAGTATGCCTATACATGCCTAGAGGGACATCTTGTCAAGCTCTGTATATGTTTACAAAGTGAGGCCTAGAGATGGGCTAAAAGCTAGAGGAAAAAGGAGAGAAGAGTCGCATAGGCGCACTTACAAGGTCAGAGTCGTACAGGCTGCACGATAGAAGGTAGCAACAGTTACGAGTTTGGAAGGATTCCAACCATAAGTCATTGTGTGAGAAAGAGGCCTAAAGGGGGGAATGCCCTGGCCGTTGGAATTATTCACAGAACAGTTGCCTAGATGGCAAGGAGAGTACTGAAGTATTCGGAAGACATAAGTCATGAAAATGATAAGTGCATCAATCAACATTCGAGGATGAATTTTTCAAAGGGGGAAATGATGTTACACCCCACGTTTTCGTACGTGGAAGTACGCCATAAGTAAATTGACATAAGCTAGAAAATGAGATGTTACATTCCGCATTTTCTTACATTAAAGTTTCATCGTAAGCTAATCGACGTAAGTTCGGGAATGAGATTATAAGCATTATTCTATTACAAACAAGTGATGAGTAAATTCGTGAAGGTGAGAGGGTAAGAAAATCAAAGAAAATGAATTTTCATCAAAGTTTGACATGTTAGGATAAAATACAGCCCGAGCTAAAAATACCCGGTATCTATGGACTAGTGCCATACAAGGTACCACATGACCATGATAGTAAGGTGTATAAAGTATGTTAAAAGTGAGTAGTATTATAAGTAATTTGAGATAATTCTAAATTATGTGGATAATTGGGTAATTAATGATTTTTGGTGGAAGATTAGTTAATTAATCATAAATCTTGATAAGCCTACCCCCCCCCCCCCAACACACACACGTGGCAGCCAACAACCCCAAATTAATGACTCTTAAGTCATTTTGATAAGGTGGCACATTAAGAAAGACTTGTGGTTTCTAGTCATCCTAGTGGGGCCCATACCTAAAAGCATAAAGATATCCTTTCTAATTCATCCAAAACAAATTATTCTCATCTACTACATTAGGAAAGAAAGCTTCAGCAAGGGTAATGGTTTGTAATAGCAACGTAGTTGCTTCAAACCTTTCATACGAAAACCATTTAATATTTTAGCAACGTGGGATTTGTGATTCTAAGGGATTATGGTGCAATCTTTCTCTAGAATATTATACGGATTGTTCCCTATTTCGATCTCACCGTTACGCATTTTGTTAGAAGGATTGACAAGAGAATCGGTTCAGGTATGTTAAGGCTATCCCCTCTTTCTTTTGGCATGACCTATACGACACTAACAAAACGAGAAAATGCACAATTTCCATAAATGACTCTACTAATAAAAATACTAGAGATGCTTATGTTCTTGATCCCCCATGTGTCATATTATTCTATCATCTGTTCATGGGTCTTAGAAAACACGTAAGTTAATAATGTTTATTTCATGATATTAATCAAAGGCATAATGTTCTTATGACACTCTGAAATTTTTTATTGACGTACTTCTCATGCATTGCATTCATTTACATTGACCCATGACCAGATGACGTTATATAGCATAATGTTACGGCGTTATATACACACCACCACCTGCAGCTGGTATACGCTGATCATTTTCCCACAATGGCCGAGATGATATAATGGGATGCCCACAGAGGATTGATGATGTTATGAACGCATATATCCATGCATGGTATGATATTTATGATATTTATACGCATATGCATGACATTATAATATTAAATGATTCACAGAGCTATTCAGATATACATGTTGGGTCTTTTACTCCATGTTTCTCTCGTGTCTATTGTTTACTGATTTTCATTCCTTACATACTCGGTACATTTTTTGTACTGACGTCTTATTTGCCTAGGGACGCTGCGTTTCATGCCCGCAGGTCCCGATAGACAGGTCGAGATTCCTCCAAGTAGGCTATCAGCTCAGCGAAAGATGTTGGTGCGCTCTATTTGCTCTGGAGTTGCTTATTTAGTTAGTATGATTTGGACGTGTATTTTTTAGTATGGCAAGGCCCTGTCCCGACCTTTATAGTATTTATCTACTCTTAGAGGCTTGTAGACATATGTCATATACGTAAAATATTGTATGTCCTTATTGGCCTATGTTTAGTGTACAAGTGACCATTTTGGTCTTATAGGCCCATATGTCTTATGTATAAGTTGGTATTACATGTTTGGTTCTTGCTATCCTACGACAGCCTTTCCGCCTCGTTTACCTATGATAGCATGATATGAAAAGATACGTTATGTTGGTACTCGGTTGAGTAAGGTACCGGGTGCCCATCGCGGCCCATCGGTTTGGGTCGTGACAACTAAATTGCCAGCAGGTTATGTATGAGCACCAGAGGCCAGGTAGCCTACTCCAGCAGATGACCATACCCGAGTGGTAGTGGAGCGCATTACCATGGACTTTGTAGTTAGGTTGCCGCGGACCTTGCGAAAGTTTGAAGCAGTTTGGGTTATTGTCGACGGGCTGACAAAGTCGGCACACTTTATTCCGGTTGTGACTACGTATACATCAGAGAGGTTGTCCAAGATTTATATTCAGGATATAGTTTGGTTGCATGGTGTGCCTGTTCCATCATATCAGATAGAGGCCCTCAGTTTACCTCACATTTCTGGAGAGCTGTACAGAGTGAGTTGGGGACACGTGTAAAGCTCAGCACAACTTTTCACCCACACACCGACGGACAGTCGGAGCGTACACTTCAGATCTTAGAGGATATGCTCAAAGCATGTGTGATAGACTTTGGAGGGCAGTGGGATCGATTCTTGCTTTTGGCCAAGTTTGCTTACAACAACAGTTACCAGTCCAGCATCGAGATGGCTTCATTTGAGGCTTTATATGGTCGGGGATGTCGTTCTCCCATCGGGTGGTTTGAGCCTGGCGAGGCCAGGTTATATGGTACTAATTTGGTGAAGGATGCCTTGGAGAAGGTAGAGTTGATTTAGGAGCGACTTCACACAGCACAGTCCCGATAAAAGAGTTACGTGGATCAGAAGGCACGTGATTTATCATTTATGGTGGGTGAGAAGGTTCTCTTGAAAGTCTCGCCGATGAAGGGGATCATAAGGTTCGGCAAAAAGGGCAAGTTGAGCCCTAGGTTTATAGGTCCATTTGAGGTGTTGAGACGAGTTGGGGAGGTTGCTTATGAGCTTGCTTTGCCTCCCAGTCTATTGGGAGTTCATCAAGTTTTCCACGTGTCTATGCTCTGGATGCATCATGCCGACTTGTCGTATATGTTGGACTTCAGCATGGTTCAGCTAGATGAGAGCCTGGGTTATGAGGAGGAGCCAATTGCCATTGTTGATAGGCAGGCTCGCTAGTTGAGGTCCAAGAAGATTTCTGCGGTAAAGGTTCAGTGGAAGGGCCAACCAGTCAAGGAGGCGACATGGGAGGCCGAGTAGGACATGTGGAGCATATATCCATACTTATTCAGCACTCCAGTATGACTTTAGACCTGTTCGAGGACGAACGTTTGTTTAAGAGGTGGAGGATGTAACGACCCGGCCGCTCATTTTGCTTTCTAGAACCCCATTCCCCTAAATAAGACTTCCCGTATG